AGGAATGTTTCTATTAAAAGCAATGGAAATACAAAGAAGCAGAGTCTTAAAAGAAAAATGAAGACAGTACTCAATTCAAGCATTGTCCAGGAGAGAGTCTCAGCCAATGGATTCTAAGAATTACCACCCATGGCAAGGCTATCTCCATGTGAAAATGAATGAATCACACTATCTTTGCTTGATGCCATTAAACATTCAAATTAGAAAACTTCTTTTGTTCCAATTCCTTGCTCACCAAGCAATCTTCTGATTATAATTTGGCTTCCCACGTGAGTTGTCTACAGGGAAACAATGAGCTGGTCAGGCCAGCATGAGTATCTGGGTCTTCTGGCAGTTGTTTCTCATTGTTAAATTAATAAATTGACCCTCTCCATATCAGTGTTTTAGAAGCCTTTAGTTCCAGTCAGCATTCCCTAGCTAATCACTCTAGTAGACTGACAAGAGTAAATTTCCGAATATGCAAAGAACAGTCTGGATACTGGCCAGCAGCAGGTTACTATAGTAAATGCTAACACGGAGGACCGGGTCCCAGCCTTCCCCAAGAAACACTCCAAATTCGAAGCATTTTTTCATTTGAACTTGTCTAGTACGTGCAACAGTTGCTATTCCAAGCATTAGGAGAATCTCTTTAACCCTGTTTTAAATGCTGGTGTTCTCTGAAAGTTAAATAATGAAGCTATTAAAATATAAAAGAGGATTTAAGACATCAGAGATTGTGAAAAAAATTTAAGGTGTATACAGACTACTGAAGTCTGAAAACTACCTACTCTAAGAAATTACCCCATTAATGATTTTAACCTCAACACTTAATGGTAAATAGAGTCCTGACAGGCATTTGTTCTGAGACTAGAATATACTGTACATACATGAAAATATATTGGTCCCAACTAAACAATTCTATTACAAAGTAATTTGTAACAAGTATGGTTAAATATGGTAGGACATTAAGCTAATTTACCAGGTCTACCCCTAATCAAGTTCTTACAGAATCCTCTGGTTACCTTCCAGTAGTTTCACTCCTCACGCATTCTTCCTACCATTTTTCAGGGCTGCCAAAGTACTTCTGTTGTGAATTTTCAAATTTGGCATTTTGAAAGGTAATAGTGTCTTCCAAATATATTAGAAGCCATGTCTTGGTTGGTATAAACTTTACCAAAATGTGGAAAATCTTCTACCTCTGTTTATATTCTTTACTAAAAATAACTGAGTTTAAAAAAAGTCATGAAAACAATTTGATGACCCAGAACTCTGTCACTGCATTATAAATTCCTGACTAGGCAAAAAGTAGACACTGACTACAGAAGTAGATTACTTTAAATTTGAGGCAGTGTCAAATTGAGATTTCTGGGATTTTTTTAGAGAACTTATAAAAAGGGAGAAAAAGGAGGAATCTTTTTTTTTTTTTTTTGCACCTGTGAAGAATATTGCTGGCAGTTTTATTTTTTTAAATTAATTAATTTATTTTTATTAACATATAATGTATTATTTGTTTCAGAGGTACAGGTCTATGATTCATCAGTCTTACACAATTCACAGTGCTCACCATAGCACATACCCTCCCCAATGTCCATCACCCAGCCACTCCATCCCTCCCACCCCCCTCCACTCCAGCAACCCTCTGTTTTCTGAGATTAAGAGTCTCTTATGGTTTGTTTCCCTCTCTGGTTTCGTCTTGTTTCATTTTTTCCTCTCTTCCCCTATGATCCTCTGCCTTCTCAAATTCCACATATCAGTGAGATCATATGATAATTGTCTTTCTCTGATTGACTTATTTCACTTAGCATAATACCCTCTAGTTCCATTCACGTCGTTGCAATGGCAAGATTTCATATTTTTTTGATGGCTGCATAATATTCCATTGTATATATATATACACCACATCTTCTTTATCCATTCATCTATCGATGGACATCTAGGCTCTTTCCATATTTTGGCTATCGTGGACATTGCTGCTATAAACATTGCGGTGCACATGCCCCTTTGGATCCCTACATTTTGTATCTTTGGGGTAAATACCCAGTAGTGCAATTGCTGGGTCATAAGGTAGCTCTATTTTCAACTTTTTGAGGAACCTCCATACTGTTTTCCAGAGTGGCTGCACCAGCTTGCATTCCCACCAACAGTATAGAAGGGTTCTCCTTTCTGAAAAAGGAGAAATCTTGTTTTGCTATTAGGGCAGAGCCAGCTCTTAAAGGATACAAAGATACAACAATTTTTAGTAACTCGTTCCTTCTAGTTTATGGGGGCTCAATCCCCTGAGTCAGAAAACCCTTAAAAAAGTAGAGGCCAAAAAGAAAAACATTTAAAGTCTATTAAATTCACGAATGTGAAGATACTGATTTAAAAAGCTTAAAATGGAATTGGAACAATGTTTCTAAAGAGATTGCCTCCTGCGGTGCCTGCATGGCTCAGTCAGTTAAAAGACTGACTCTTGGTTTCAGCTCAGGTCATAATCTCAGGGTCATGAGATCAAGCCCCGTGTTGGGCTCTAGGCTTAGCAGGAATCTGCTGGAGATTCTCTCTTCCTACTCTCCTTCTGCCCCACCGCACCCTGCCCCACCCCCCGGCTCTCCCTCAAATAAACTTCAAAAAAATAAATAAAGAAAAAAGAAAAAAAAAACCCACAAACTACCGAAAAAAAAAAAAAAACTAAAAAAAAAAAAAATCACCTGCCTATTATTCATAACCATTGTGTTGGAGAGCACAGAGACTCTATCAGGTTTTTTGGCAGGGTAGAAATAAATACCAGCAACACAAGTACCATGAAGTATAAATCCAAGATCAAAACAGTGACACTGGGAGCCATGATATAACCGAATAAAAAAATATTTACTCAGCAGATTGTTGCTGTTCTAGCCTTCATAGAGAATTACTTGTGTGCAGAAAAATTAGAATAAAAGATAATCTTCTGATAAAGTTTTAGAGGGCCCTTAAACATGTATAAAAACACTCTGTTCTCTGTTGGCTCATCCTTTGGCCACTAACACTGGAGAGGTATGTACATGAGTATGTGTGTGGAGGGAGGAGACACACGTATCACAGTTGAATGAATAAATGAAGCACACAGAGGGAAGCAATGCCTAGCTCAACTAGCAAAGAAAGAGATATGTCTTCCTGTCATTCTTATTCAGAAGGCAGTTCTATGCTGAAATACAGCAAAATACCAGAACAAAAAATACCAACCACCAATCAACCAGCTGTGTGAGTACCACAAAAGCAAGCATCAATCAGTCTGCTATCACAGACATAAGTTCTGTTCTTGTTTAGGCAATGAAGAGGAATTCTTCACTTTCCAATCCTGCTGGTAATATATGCAAGGATGGAAGCCTCAAATTTAAAGCTAAAGACTGGCAAGTGAAGCCCTGAGACATTAAAATAAATCTACAAATTTATAAAAGATTCTTTTCAATTACTGAAAAAGGAAGCTGGCCAACAACCTAACAAAGATGTCTTCCGTGTCTATATAAAGGACTACCAAGGTGAAAGCACATCAAGAAATATAGCTACTTGTATGGTTACCTGCAGCCTATGCAGAAATAGTTGGCTTCATCTCTCCTATTCTACACCTTGCTTTGGTTTTACGAGCTAGATTATACGTTTCTTTGCTTACGGTTGTAAGAATCTTCTTCTTCTACACTTTTTCACTGAAAACTCTCATTAAAAAAAACAAAAATTCAAGAACAATCCAAGAAAGAAAACATGATTGATTAAATGCATTCAGGGCTCTGTCTGATCCCCATGAAAGAGGAAGTGAACATTGCTAAGTGCCTATTACATGTTAGACACTGTGTTAAGCACTTTTCTATATATTTCCTTCATTAGCCTTAAGTGCTATTTTTATGCTCACTAATGCCAAACATGAAAATGCTCAAATTTAAAAGGCAAGCTTTTAGAGGCAGAGTTTTCTAACTCACTTCATATTACATTGAAAGAAAGCATCATGAAAGAACAAGAGTGGACAGTAAGTCCATCCCAGATTTCTGAGGCCAACCTTTGATATATAAATATGAGTTCACTGTAACAGTAAAGAACATCTCTTAAGACCACTAGGTTTCCTCAAAGAAGCTGAAGAACCAAATAAAGTTTCTAAACTCTGTCTCATGGTAATCTATTCAAAAAGTCAACATTTAGAGTAAGGCAAATAGAAACATGAAAAAATACAGCTTAAAATTTAACTTCATTTAAATAGAATCTGATATTTTGATTATGCAGCTTTGCCAACTACAATGTAATACTGCAGAAAAGCCAGACAGAAAAGTCAAGGCTTCTTAAATTTAATATGGGGTCAAATGAAACTGTAAGGCCTATCACAAGAAGTAACATTCCCTACTTGGATTTGCCTTGAGACTTTCACTGGAGCAGGACAATGTCACATTTATCTGGAATTGCTAGATGATCAGGAATCACTTTTAACATAGTAGGTTTTTCAAATAACTGAAGCTAATTAAAAGCAAAAAAACCCTAATTTTTTTATTATGGAAAACAAAAATATATATTCATCCCTGCCTTTAACAATATTTCCGTAATGATTTAAGTTTGTTATTATAGCCTTATTGTATAGGACTTATTGTACATCCATTATCTGTCTTTTCTCCATTTTCCAGCAGCTCCGGGAGCCGCTGCAGCCTCTAAAAGCTCTTCCAAGAGCAAATGTATGGCTTTTGTGCTGGGCTATACACAGCTATGTAAGGTGCTATGAGAGATACTCAGGTGCTTTTTCCTGAACTCAATTCAGAGTAAACAGTTCTGTGCTTTAAGAGCCTGAAATGGGAAGACTGGTCTTTGGTTACGTGGGGTTAACATATTTGTCAGCACACTTTTATGAAAACTACAACATCCAGTGGCTCACTCACGTTCAGTATCACTTCTTAGCAGGTTTGATCTATCAATGAATCATTCTAAGCTATTAGAAAGCTTTTCGCCTTTCCTGTGTAGTATTAGAGCACCACCTTGTGTCAGAAACCCAAGGAAATGAGCAGCCATCTGGTGTTTTTAGATACCTTAGTTGTCCAAAGTTTTACTGTCCAGTCAAATGATGAAGTGACAAAAAGATGTGAGAAGTCCACTGCTCCAACAGCTGCATGACAATGGATACCAGTAATTGGTCCTTGATGTCCCTCAAACATCTCACTGATTCCAGCTTTGCTATTTCATAAAAGTGAAAATATTAGGAAAATCTCTTGGAAGTAGACTGCTTATAAATACATCTTATTAAGGATTATATATCAGATTTTTACATAATTTCAACCAACCTAACTCTGCTCATAACACATCAGAGTAACTTATGTTGAGTGTTACTCAATCCAGATTTGGTAACACTACTAAAACAGTAAGTACAGTTTGAACTATAAACATGCTTGTTGACAATACAACTCACAAGTCCAATTATCTGAGGTGATGGAATAGAGACAAAGGGAGGCTATATGTAAGAGAGAAAATCTGGGCTACTATTTTTATATCAAAAGCTTTGAAGTGAAGGTGATCTGTATTTGAGATGAAATCTGGACACTCCATTTTTCTTTTTTAAGGAAGCAATTGATAAGGTACAGCTAGGCAATTTCAAAACAGATTGAACAGCAGGAGAAATACTAGTCAATTTAAAATGTGTACGTGACATTACTACACAATTATCAGGAAGATGAACTAAAGCTCAAAGTCCAAATAAATCAAAATGGAAAAACGGCTGAAAATCTTATTTACAACTTTAAGGGTCAGTATGTGGCATGTGCATATTATATTTGCAACTGCTGAAAGCTACTTCCTACCATTAACTTCTGTGAGTACATGCATACATACAAAACCATAGCACACCACAACCCGTAAGATCCAGAACATATCATGATCCAAAATAACTTTTTATTTTAAAAAGTATTTAGGTTTTAATTTTATATACCTGAACTCAAATACAATTTGTCAAAAATAATGAGTGGCTCTATGACAAATTTCTACTTAAACAAGGGGCAATTTGTTTTAATGAGACTATTAAAGGAAGAAATTTAAATAATTGCAAATTCCAGTTTAGATTTACCTGCCATGGCGGCATGCTGTGTACACCGAACCTTCTTCACTCCCAACAACAAAGTTGTTGACATCTCCAACAGGGAAGGACATAGATGTCACAGCTACTGCCTTTGACTGTTTATGAACCAATTCCATGCTATCCTATGTAGAAAAAATTGAGGAAATTATTTTCTAAGTTTGCAACTTTTAATTTTCTAAGAAACATTTCTAGTTTTAATTGGTTTATAAACAATTCTTTTATTATAATACTTATACAAATTTACTTTGATTAAATGAAGTAGGTTTGAAAATAAAGTATCTCATGACAAACTATAACAGGTTAGATTTATAAGCTGTTATCATAATACTATTATAAAACATTTATGAAAAAACATAAGCTGGGATTTACATGGACTTAAAGAATAACATTTGTCTCAAAATTTCAGTTTTCCAAGTTTAACCTACCTGTGGATGGGAAAGCATGTCCAGACTCCATGAACAAATTTTTCCATCAGTAGATATGCTAATCAGATTGTGAGCATTTTGTGTTCCAACAACATTTACACAATATACTGGATGCTAAAGAGATGTTAAAAGACATTTTCTGAGATTATTTTGCCAAAAAGATGGAACCATTTTTATACTAAAATCACAGGTATTCTGTTTCACATCAAAACAGTCTCATATCTTGATGGTATTTTTAATGTGAAGTTTGATGCTATTCTGTTAATTAATAAAAGCTTGTCTCAGAAGATAGATGAGTTTTTAATAAAACAGATTTCTAAAAATACAAAAAAAAGGCCTTTATTTTTGGTGGCCAACTGATGAAGAATTCATCCATCAAAGGAAACACATTCTGAGACTACTCTGATGGACACTACTAAGCATTTAATGGTGAAGCAGCACAGAAGTCTAATGGAAATAACCTCTTTACTACTTACTGTGTGTGCAGCAGCTGACAGCGGAGTTCTCTGCACTGGAGTTCTTTTATTGCTACGGTTATCCCACAGCACAATTTGGCCTGAATATGTACCACCAACAACCAGATTTGGATGAAATTTTGCAAATGTAGCAGACATCACAGCTGACTGTAAATAAGTAAGATTTCTATACTTAAGGTTCAAATGGAAGAAGCCTGATAAGTTATAAAAATAAATCTACACACAAACGTTTTCCCTTTTATTGTAAGGTATTAGAGATTATAAAGAGAGTAAATTAATTCGTTTAAAAATTTCATCTTATTTCAGAATATAAAAATATAGCTTTGGAATAGTTTTTGCTTAAGTCAAATGTAATGATTGTTTACATAAATGTATTCAAACAATTTATAAAGAAAGCAAAAATATTATTTTGTTTGATTACAGTATTAAATCAAAAGACAACTGGCTCTAACAGTAATCTGACAACAGAGTATAAGCTAGTTTTGACTCAGTTAAGCATTTTTTTCAGAATTATGATTATTAAAAGATAACTTATGCAACTAGAAAAGGCTCGCAAATTCTAACCTTCCACTAAACTCACTTTAAAAATCTGCATCTGTTTCCTACTTCAAACATATGTTTCTATTTAAAACTATTTAGTTCCAACTCCTCAGGCCATGTATAAGTAATTCAGTGGGCTGACCGTCTAATTGTTTTTTCAGCAAATAAGTTCATGAGAAACTCCCTGTAGAGAAGACATTTTATAAAAGATTCCTTTTATATAATCAATCACAATAACAGAAAATCACAACTGCAAAGGACTTCAGGTGTGATTAAATATAAGAGATGTCAGAAAAGCTACAAAAGGCTGATCATGTTGAACTGAAAAGTCTTCAGTTTTCTGTTAACATCTGTTTGCAAATATGAGGTGGTTTAGTAAATGCCAATCCAATGAAATCATTATGTTGACAAGAAAAGAAAAAAGGCACTTGTCTAAATTCATTAATGAATTCTTAAACTTAGGGAAGACTGTTAAAACACCATCTTACCTGGCAGTGAAACACATATTCTGGGGTAGTTTTTTTGTATTTCATATTCCATACAAGGGCTACACCATCAGGTTCATGAGGAGCATCTTCATTGTTATTATAAGAAGCCACGAGTAGCTCTGGATACTGCTCACAAGAATCAAGTGGGGAAAAAATTGCTACGCATAAGAAATGTTTCACACTCTTAGTGACTCAACTATTTTTATCAAATTATTTTGAAAATACAAATACTTAACATTTCCCCAAGAAAGGTGTCACGAGAGTTACGATTACTGGGGTGTTAGTAAAACTCTAAATTAGTATAGTTACTGATTTAAAGTGTTTTAACATTAAAACATTTTATTAAAACACATTGCAATTTTAACCAAAGAATATGGTGAGCAACTGAAATTAGTAAACCTGGGTTGTGGCATAAATTCAATCTTGAGTTTTAAATTACATGATGTTTCCAATCCTTTCTTCCAAAGTATTTAAGATAAAATGAATACAATAACAGAACCATCATCCATTATTACTCTAAATGACACACACTGATTTAATTACACAAAGTCTCCATAATTAAAAGTTCTTGTTAATTTTAATTTAAAAATGAGTAACCAATTTTGTTACAATTTACCTGAGATGACCAATCCAAACAACTAACAACACGATGCTTTGACCAACGTTCATCAAAAAATTGTCGATTTAATGACAGTTTAGCACCAGCTTGAATCTCTCTACAGAAAAAAACCAAATCCAAAAAAAGATCATGTTACAACTTCTCACTCTTGATCTGAAAGTAATTTAAGTAACCTTAAAGTAACATTGCTAAAGCCATAATTTTAGCAATTAAACATTACCCTTCTTTGTCTTCCAAATCTCTTCCACTGTAGTCAAAGAAGATGTTAATCTGCTCAGAAAGCGCTCTTTCTACAATTCTTGTAGAATGGTCAAAGAAACTTAAAAATTCCTCTGAGTGTAAGATTTGTTGCTTTTCTTCTTCAGTCAGCTCATGAGGGGGAGCTGAAAAACAAATATTTTCCTGAAGTCAGTCTAATTTACGTCCGTCAAATCCTGTCAATTCACTATCAGTTTGGATCAATGAATGCCACATATTTTTTTCCAACCAGATTCACCTCTTTCATTTAGAGCATTGTAGTCTACTTTAACACATAAATAACAAAAAAAATTTTAATAAGAATCAACAAAATTTTTTAAGTTAATTCTTTAAGATACCTTTACTATCATTTTCTTCATCTTTCTTTAAAGTTTTCTCTTCTTCGGGTTCAATAGGTGGTTTAGGAGTCACTACGTCATCTTCTTCCTCTTCATCTGGAAAAAAACAGAAAAACACAAAAATTATTATGAAAATAACTGAACTTCTGAGCAACAGTTCAGAAGGTACACAACTAACTTTACATAAACACAAAAGTAAACTACTGATAAGACAGAACAAGAATAATATGAATTTTATCAACACAATTTTAAAGAAAGAAATAAGTGGAACTTCTTGGTGTTTATATATACCTATGTGGTACCTCTAACAGTCATTCCAAATTTTGTAGCATGTAAACTGAATTAAGATATATAAGCAACTAGGACAAATTCCTCATGGAAATCTCTAAAAGCTTGCAAGCATTTATCATTCCAGACAGAACAACATGCAACTCCTGCATAGTTTTATGTAGCATGCTGACACATTAATGCTGTAGAATGAAGAAAATCAAATGTCTAAAATAGCCTACAGAGCTGGCTGCTTACTTGTGATCTGAAACCATCAGTGTCTAATGGGTCTTCATATGGCATAAAGACGGCTTACATTAACTCTCAGATTGCTATTTGAGAGGCAGATTTTAAAGATAATAGCTATGAGACCACATTTTCTATTCTGTCATTTTAAATGCAAGTCTCATTATCTATCGTTGCATGATGTGGCAATAAGCACTTAAAATAATGTTTTCTTAACTTGGAACAAAAATATATATTGAGATAATATACAATGTTTATAAGAAGACTTTATTACTAAATCTCCTCTCCAAACCAAGAACTAACTTAAAATCACTTACTTTAAAATGTTATAGAGCATATAACTCTGCATACCTTCTCTTTTACTATATACTGAGACAGATTTTTATGACGAAAATGCTTATTTTTATTGCCTAAACAGATGTGTCATTTGTCTATAAGGGAATGGCAGCAGGCGTCTGCAGCAGAGTGCATCTTAAGTAATGAGGGCCTATTCAATAAGGGGACTTGTTATTTATAGTCATTTCCCTGACCCATGTTCAAAATTATCTAAAGCACACATACATGCTCCATACACAAAAGAATGGTCAAGGATGGGAACCAGCTGCCAAGTCATGGTCCCAGCAGCCAGGCCAGCTGACTAGATAGCAACAACCAGATGGCACTGCTGGGATTGTGTCTTTCTGCTACAAGGTGGCAAAGGGATGGCACAACATTCTTCCGCTTGGCTGCTTCCAATCCCATCTCTCCCCAATGGTGAGACTGTGCAATTACCCACACTCCAGGAGGCCTACAGATAAGCCTTTACCCTGCAAACAAAATGCAGCTTGTAGGCCACACCAGCTGCCAAACCACACACATAGTGTTAGGTTTGGAGAGCTATGAAAATCTTTCAAAGTCTATAGTATAAGCAATAAAAATATAGCTGTACCTGTAGGAAAGAAAGCTTTAAATGACACTGTATGATGCACACAATGATACAACCTCCAACTTAATCAAAATGATAATGACGTATGCCAATCCTACATTACTTGAAATTGAGCGATTTTTACGTTCTGACAAGTTTACAGAACTAGGATAAATGGCACGAATGATTTCAATATATGCTCATACTTTTGAACCAAATGGTGAAGGTTAAAATTTTTCCTTTCAAGGGCCTCAATCAGCCACAAAGGAAAACAGTAATCACTGTCTTTTCAGCCAGCCCAACCGCATTTGTCAGCCCTTTCTCTGTCAATGCAGCCAGAGCAATCAACCTGCCAAACATTCAGAATGGAAAAACAATCTGAAAATACAGGGTATAATGCACCTGCCAGTGAAAATGGCCATTTCAAGAAAAGCTAGTGATCTCAGTGACCCCGCTGAGGAGGCGGTGGTGCAAAGGGGAAAGAACACGTAAAAGAATTCTTAGTGATCGCCACTCTCTTGCACATTGACACTTCCTTACAAAGCATGCCAATTACAGCTTTTGTGCTACTTAAAAAAATGAAAGCTTTTTTTGGGCAAAATAATCACACAGAAACAGAAAGACAGTACTCCTTTTTAGATGAATTCTCATATACAACAGATTATTAATCTGAAAACAGTATAACTGGTGACAATTCTATACTGTACTGCTCCAACATGATGAAATTCTACCATAAAATCACCTGTAGGTGTAATGTAATAAAACAGTTTAATTACATTTAACTCAGAGGTTGACTTTTAGAATAATGATATATTTAAACAAATTAAAAATTAAGTCTGAGAATATATATATATTTTCATTTTCTGGCTATCAGTTATCCTAACCAATTTTGTTTACTAGCAGGGTTTACGGTATGTAAATCCTAAAATCAAAGAGGGGGATTTTGAGACACCCTGGACAGGTCTTCTTGAGCACTGTGAATTATAAATTACAGCCTCCTAGCCACATTGTATTTTCCTCCCTCAACTTTGTTGCATTATACGGCTTCTAAGTACTATTTCCAATGACAGGTGTCAAATTCCTGTCATAATGCATATGGTCAGTACTTTAGCGCCAAGTGACCTCATAATCTACATATTTAACAGAAAAGATCTTGTTTATAGACCATCTTTCCCTTCTAAAATTTAAAATGTAGATGAAGTATGTTAGACAGTGATCTATATCTGCCTCTTATATGGCATTTGCTATGCCCATTTGCCCATATAGATCAGTTTAGTTGTAGCTGAATGATGGATTACCAACTATTTAGATACATGTTTTCAGGATTTTGTTTTAGAGTTAATGTACCTACCTCCCTTTCTACACGGATGAAAAACTGATCTAAAAACTATGACAGGTCAAAAGATTAAGCCAAATAAAATTTCAAGGAACAAAAAACAAATGATCTGCTCTTCTTAAAAACTACAAAACATCGTATTTTTATTATAAAGCTGGTCTTAAACAATTATCTATATATATCAAATATTTGGCAAAAATACCCATCAGTACTACCAGATTAGAGAATGTTCCTCTGAATAAATACACTCTCTTTTTAAAAACTAATATGACAGCTACTAAAGGACTACGGACATGATCAAAAATATATCATCATAATTCTGAAGATTTTCTAAGCTAGTCCTTATTACATGATAAACTATAATGTATTTAAAACAGAAAAAGAATGCAACAGAGCAGGAAGACTGAAAAATGGGACTGCCATGTCACATCAATTTATTGATGAATATTCATTGCAATATGCTAAGTGGTTAACTCCATGCTTTCTCTGACAGGGAATCTAAGGTTATAAACTGAGCAGTAAAGAATGCATAAAAGTAGCAGTTACTTTTAAAATGACAAATCTCTTGTCAATGAATGCTAAGACTAGGTTTAATGAACCACTGAATTTTTACTTTGAGTTAACATCAAAATTGTTATGTATTTTGGTGAGATGGAAAGAAAAGCTGCTCTGTAAATTAAGCTGCACCTAGAAATAACACCAAAGAGTGAAATTCCAGTTGTCAGAATAATCTGTTACAATGGAGTTGGTTAATCAAGGTTAAATCATCTGTAAAATGGGTGGCTTTTGTTAAGCTGAAGGAAGGAGTCTTCAGAGCAAGTTTTCTCATCTGTATGTCACATTACACTTAAGAGACATCTAAGCCAAGAATAAGCCACAAAGTATACTTTGAACTATTTTAAAATGTTACAACACATTTAACAGGTAATATGCAACATCCTAGGAAATCCTCACTAAACACTGATACTTTTAAATCTATCACTTATCATGATTAATTCTCATTATCAAGTGAAAAACAAGTCCCATCATTAGTGCATTAATGTTATTCAGAAAATATGTTTGTTGTCTATAAATGTAGTTTCATTATATTGGTGTGCCGTATTTTAAGATAGTTTTAATGTCCTATGGAGTATTCCTTATTTACCAAGTAGCCTGAGTATTTATGGTACAAAGGAAGTTGCCACCAAGTTCTAAAAATCAGAAAATTTGTTGTATATAAAAATGATTTAGTTTTCAAAAATTCAACTTATGAATAACGTCACAAAATCTTTCATGAGATTAGAGGGAAATGCTTTAATCATTAATTTTAAAATATAAGTTAGATATAAACAGTTTTCCTTTAATATTTTCAAAATAACCCTTTCTTTTCTAGATCAAAATCATTTTAAATCACTTCATTTCAATCCAGTTGTCCATAATTTCATCTACTTATACCTTACTCTTTAAAATCAATATTAAGAGAAACTTGTATTGGGACAAAGCTTCATGAATGGATCAATGGACTCCATTCTTTTTATATTTTTAAATATCTAGAATGATATGCAAGTTCTCTTGGATTTCCTTAATAATTTAGATCTTCAACAAGCAAAAATATGTAGCAGTCTTTTAAATCAGGAAATATTTTGAATACAGATCTAATGCTAACTTGGGGGAAAAAAAAGAAGTAAAATTTCAACTATACCATTTACTTTAACACAATTTGTTTCTCTGTATGGTCTTTTTAATACAAAATTCAGATTTATCTAGGCAATATTGGCATCATTGACAGAGACCCTGATATCTATGATCTCATAAATATTACATTTTTCTGACACCGTAATTTCAGATATGCTGATTAAAAGTCTTTAAGATTAAGAAGAAATGCTTTAATTTTCAATTATATTTATATTCTCACAGATTCTCTGAGGGTTAAAACTCATTTTTATAGGTCTTATTTATTCTAGAATTTTTAAAAATTCCATTTTGGACAAAGGTAATATTAACCAGAGGGCCCAAATTTAGTCTACCTGGGAAGCATGGATTACAGACAAATGTTAAGATCATGCAAGAAAAAATTTAGAGCTATTTACATGTAATACTTTTCTATACATTATAAATACTAATCGACATGTTCCTAAGGAAAAATATCTGGCTACTAAACCAATACCAAAAGTAATTTTAAAACTCCACACAGATAAGAAATTGGAATAGTGTAAGAACTGCACTTCACTGGAAATCAAAAGCCAGGTTCTGGTTGTAGCCCTATGTCACCCACACTGTGACCACAGGCTCATCACAATTAACTTCTTCAGGCCTCAGTTTCCTCAGGTATAAATAAACTGATAATATTAGATAACATAGGAT